CCAGCAGTAGGACTTTTCTCCCTCAGCTTTGTCAATGACTTGGTTTTTTGGCCTTGGACTAGGCCTCAGTTTTGTTCCCATTTTACAGATGGGAATAGTACCTACTTACCTCACAGGACTGGTGTGAGGCTGTCCTTCATTACTGCAAGATGCTGTGAGATTCTTTTGGAGGAAGGTGCAATATAGGAAGAAATGCACAGAGATACATCAGCTGTGTTTGTTTAAAAAGGATGGGTGTTGGGGCTCCACGAGGGTATAAACTTGGATGAAATTGAACCAAAGTGGTAACAATTAAATTACATCCCTCTTAATTTTACACAGGGGGAGAAATTAACTTAACATCTGATCCAGTTCCTACTATAGGGAAAGGTTTCAATGAGAGTTGGACCAAACCCTGAAGTATCTTGGAGGGCTCTTGCTATTTTTTTTTTATTGCTGTTGTTATTATTTGTTGTTTTTAAGGTACTGAGATCAAATGGCCTGTATCATCCACATGCATCCGTTCTGAACACTACAATGCAATGCTGACCGTGGTCACTTTTGACATTGACTGTATTGGTTGAGTTTTTGTTACTCTGAAGTGTGTATACTACTAAATAAACGCGACTGAAGGAAAAAAGACATCCACTGTGGTTTGGTCCCAGGACAGTAGTATCTTTTCTTCAAGAACTTCCTTAGGGAAGGAACAAGGACTATTTATTTTGGTGTTTCTTGTACTTACAGTCTTTAGCATCTAATATTTCTTGAAACAAACAAAACTGGTTCTAACACATGTAGAAGCTTGGTTCAAAACCTATTAGGTACATTTGCTTTCGAATGCAATCCCCACAAAGCTTGACACCTTCCTTTGAGGTAAGCTCTGTCTCAACAATCTCAGTTCATAGCCTACAGTATGTCAAGCCATTGCATATCAGAAGGCACTTGGCAGACTCAGAGCAGTCAACAATGCCATGGGGCAGTTTTTTGTGGCAGCAGGGAAGAAGCAGTCAGCCCTCCAGGACTGGCACCATTTCTGAGCAAGAGAGAGTGTCTTCTTAACCTGTATGTGAAGAACATTCAGCAGAGAAGGGAAGCAAACAGCCACCATTAGTGTCTCTTTATTTTGTGTTGCAAATATAGACATGTACACTTGTCCAGCTTTAAATTGCATAGAAGCAGGCGTGCCATCTACTTATGTACAGCAGTCACCCAGAAAGGTATGTTGATGAGACGTGCTGCCTGCCATGGTCAGAGGTAATGACAAATCAGAACTAGTTCAACCAAATGAAGAAGTCATGAGATGGGAAGATGTTAGTGATGTTGTGCCTAAGATGTCATTTCCATCAACCTGGAAAGGAAGGGCAGGAATGTGGAGGAGAGAGGAGGAGAAATCATGGCTGCTCGAGGCTCCAGGGAGTGTGGTCTGTGGCTGACACACCAATGGAGCTGCAACTCCTAGCAGTAGTGTTTTCTTCTTTCAGGTGAGTAGGGGGCGGGTATTGGAGGTGGAATAAGCTTGCAAAAGCCTGTAACTATTTCATTAGACTTGCAAAGCTGTCTCAGTGCATACCTGCCCTCTGGCAAATCAGTGTGGAACTTGCTGTAGGAAGAGGGTTGGTAGGAGGGGGAGACCTTAAATCTGTGCAGTTAAAAGTTCTATTTCTTTAAAGGGCAAATGAAGATATAAAACATGTAAGTTGGGGAGAGAAAACGCAACAAATCAGAAGCAAGAATATCAACGAATGAAAATAAAGCAGAGAAAACCAAGTTGAAGTTTGCAGGATTATTTCATCTTTTCTTATCCTGTCCCGTCTTTAAAATGTAGGTATGAGGTTGTGTGAAGCCACATAAATGCTGAGCCAAGAAAAACCCAAAACAAATATATACACACAATCTAAAATCAAGTTGGTAACATGTTAAAAGGCAGACACCCATCAGGAAGAGCAATTGATGATAATCCTATAAATGGCTGGTTCTGCAGTGGGCAAGTGTTGGAAGACTTATCAATCACATGGATTACAGATAATCCCAGATATCCCACTCCTGTCATTCTTGGCAGGAAACAAAATCAGGTTTCAGCTATCAGTTGCCAAAAATAATCTAATTTTGACGCTACGGGTTCAACTCATTGATCATGCACTGAAAGTGTCTCCTTAAAACACAGCTTCAAGTCATATTTTGAAATAGCAGCAATTGAGCACAGTGAAATCTGTGATTATATGAACAGCAAGTTCCAGTCTCAGAACTGAGGGTTGTAGAATACGTCATTACAGTTGTTATTTTTAGGTAGGGTGGTTTGGGCAGCGTGGACCATTCAGCATCGCAACAGGAGCAATATTAGCATGCTTTCCTCCAGGATATTAATTAAAATTTCATTATCTATCTGTGAGGGTTTTTTAAAAGCAGCCAAGAGATCAGATCTGCACAGAAAAAGGTCAAAGATTCATGGCAACTGCACTGGCAGAAGATTATTTACCTTTAGTTTTGTTTGTGGGAGTTATAAAGAATCTAGGTTGCTAATGCAGATCCTTTTAAAATTCCCATCTCTTTCTTTCAGTGCCCATTTGGTCTGTGCAGCTCCATGTTCTGTCTTGTTACAAGACACTCTGACTGGCTCGGTACGTTCCTGAGCCACATGCTGTTGTAAACCAGCGAAGTATCACTCTATAATCACTACATGCTCACTCCCGCAGTTGTCCTTCAACACCCCGCTGCTGGACACTCTTAGGGTTAAGATATTGGGTGGGATGGACTTTTACTCTGGCTCAGTGCAGCTTGGTGGGTGCTCTTCCTGTAAATAAGTACCTTGATGCAGGTATTTAGAAAAAAACCAGGTATTTGCCCAAAAGTGCTGGACTGAAGAACTTGCGTTTTCATTATAAAGTGAAGGCACAGCTGCAGCCTAGACTGCCCATGGCATTGGCAGTAGCACTGTGCTCTTCTCTCACTCCACTTTTCAATGGCTTACCTAGTTTTATCACTACTGACCCTTCTAAATTCCTGACTCACGTTGAGGCAAGTGCTGTGTATTGGGAAAATCGTGGCAGCTCAAGCTGGGTAACCACATGGACAGCAGGGTTCCTACCTGCTTCTCACTGGACTCAGGGCACTGTGTAGTCATTTCCATGTGAGAAAAGATAAACTTGTGCCTGCTGCTTCACAGAAAGGCTGCAGGAAGAGGAGGTGGTATAGTTAACATCCCACGGCTCCTGAACAAGTCAGTATTCACTCCTCTCTTATCATCCGTTCTGATGGCTAAGGAGAATTGAAAGCAGAGTCGTAATAAGCCTGCAGGTCTGGAAATGATGGTATGTAAACCTGTTCCTTCTAAAGCCAAAGGCCTGAATCTGTAGGAAGCTTGGAACAGCTACAAAGTCAGACCAATAAAGCATAAATCTGCGCTGAAGACACATTTCACTCACAATGGATTCAGGCTCTTTCCTATGTGTTCGTTCTGTACCGCATCTCAGTAGTGTCCATCCCTGAATGATGCAGAGGACAGGAAGACCACAGACTTCCTGTCCAGGAAGAGGGTCTCCTGCCAGCCCACATCTTCAGACTGTACATGCAGCCGATCACTAAGTGTGAAGCTTGTACCTCTTCCCTTAGAAAGGAACCAGAGCGAGTCTACAACTGACATCTCACCGCACAACTTGATTACACTTGCAGGCAGCATGTAATTTGCGACATTCAGGAGTGAGGCAAGAGCAAAACGCTTCTGAGACTGTTCAGGCTTAATCCAAATTATTTACTTTTTCAGTCTCCTTATTTTGCAGGCTTTAACTGGTAAACATCAGTTTAGGCCCTAAGCAACAGAAGAAAGTGTTAGAAACGAACTGTCCTCAAAGCAACTACATTTACCAGCAAGTCTGTATGCTTGTAAGGCGAGAAGAAATGATGACCTGCTCAGGTGTGTGAAGCCAAGTCATGATTTTAGCTTTCTTGAGTGGTGGAGCTCTGCTACCTTCCTGTGTAAAGGGCACCGTAAGGTCTTATCTGTGTTAGGTTCCCCTCACTCTGCCCCTCCCTTGCATTACGTTGTTTCTACCCCAGAGGAGCAGGTATTAAACCCAAGAACAACTCCAGTGCACCAAGTGCTAGACAGTTACTTGAGAACCTCAGCTTAATGCTTACCAGCATAGCACAGGAAACTACTGCTGAATACCAACATACTTACAACAATGAAGTTCATCCCAAGTAAAGTTCATTAAAAGATAAAGACAGTCCATTTCTCCTCATGCCACACAGCAAAGCCTTTCTTGAAAGGCCACCTGCCCCTTCCACATCAGGAGCTGTGAGGAAAGTGACACCATGAGTCAAGCAGCATATTCCCTTCTCTGTTCAAAGGGACACTATCAGCTCCACCAACCATATTTTTTTTGTGAAGAGTAAATCTGTTTTCCTCTTCATTGCTTGTTTTCAAAGCACATACTCAGAGGAGCCTGGAGTTCTTGTTTTATCCTTCCTCCTACTTCCAATTTGAGCAGTAGTTTCATTTTCATGTTTTTCCACAGGATCTGCTAATAAAACAGATGCAAAAGTAGCTGCTATTTACTTACTTCCCTTACAGTGTATGACCATCGTTAGTAAGTCATTGGGACTGTAAGAAGCTCTCAGGAATAGAGCAGCCTTTGCAAGTTGCACAGCATGTGGCTTTGGTTTCTTCGGTCAGCAAGAAGCACAACCTCTGCCAGCCATTATTCCCATCCAAATGCTGCAGTTGGATGGTAGGTCCAATTCTTTTCACCTGAGCAGATTGAGAAGGAGTCCTTTCACTATTGTCTTCTGAATGAGAGCAGCAATGCCATTGTTCTCCACCTCTAAGCTGGTTCATGGAACATGTTTGATGGACAGAGATAGGAATGCAACTGTCTTTAACGATCTGGTTGAAGGAGGAAGCAGAACATCACTGATGTTGAAACACCACCCATCTGAAGGAACTTAAATGGAGGAAGTGAGTGAAATAGGAAGCAGTCCTTCCAAACACACACATTCCCTGATCTTTGGAAGAACTGTTTCTGTTATACTGGAGTAACACTCAGGTCATCTGACAAAGACAGACCAGAGTCCCTCTCCCTCGATGTTTTCTCTGTTTTACAAAAAGGCTTTTCACCTCTGTGCAGGCTGGAGCTCCTTAGCACAGTTCCTCTGACCCCTGCCAAAGCTGACGGTTGGTGCTCAGTGCCACAGCACAGGTCATCATAAGCATAATTGACATTGCCACAGGGGAAAGTCTGGAGTTTCACCAGTTCAATCCCACTGACATCCAGCTGAGGGCAGTTGCTTCGACTTGGAGATGCTGGAGATGCCCGGGAGCTGGGAGAAGAACTGCAATTCCCATCAAAGCCCGAATCTTCCCGCTCCGGATTTGCTTTGGGCTTGGAGCTGGGGCTGAAGTGACAGATGCTCTCTAGCACCCACGATCCATAGGTTGGGTTCCAAAGATTTTTTGTTTTGTTTTGAAGTCTGTGGCTTGGTGGATTGCTGAGCTCCAGCTTCTGGTTCGAGGTCCGCTGGAACCAGGGCCCACTGTTGAAATCAGTGAGGCATGGCAGGCTGGGCCCTCGAGCAGTCCGGTTGCTCAGGTTCTCTACCAGCAGCTCTTGTGGACACTGTACAAGTTTGTGCCCAGCCTGGTGGGAGTCCAGTGCTTTAGGCGTGGTCTGAGGTGTGAGAGAAGGGCTTACCAACAGGGGCACGATCCCACTGGAAATGTTTGGGCGCATGACCGTACCCCCTTCGTCCTCCGGTGCGGGGCCACACTCCATGGGCAGCTCAGTGTTGACCACATCAGGGTCCTGAAAAAGAGAGACAAGAATCTGTTACACCCTGAGCACACCCAGGGTGATGGACACACCTGCATTTTAAGAAATAGCTATGACAGTGAAAAAGCCTTTGGCAGAGGCTGACATCAGTTCTGGGCAATATTCATGCACGTCCTGCAAGGTGCTGTCTGCCATCTGTATATCACACGCTGTTAGGACTCCCAAAAATGCTCTCTCATGTATGTGCTTCCTTTGAGCAGTGGCTGTGCTTTATTGAAATCAGCAGCTAAGCTGGGGGTCACTGGCATATCATTTCTCCCTTGGGAGGTTAGATCTAGGCTTATAGCTGTAAAATGCTACCAGATGGTGAACTCACTGTGCCATCTCATTCCCCCCCCCCCCCCCCCCCCCCATACCAGTTCTGCTGTGGCTTTTGAGCAACATTAGGTAAGGTCAGAATATGGACCTTGAAAGAGATTCTAAATACGTTTCCATCACAAAATGAAGGACATTTTGCTACTGAAGGAGCCAAGAGCTTAAAGCACCCACTCCCACAGGAACATCGTAATCTCATTTTGGTTGGGCTGAAGAGTGAAGATGGATACCGGAAAACCAAATGAAAAGAGCAGTTGGGCCAACAGCACCACCACAATTGGGAAAGTAATTAGACCAGTTTGCCAGGACTCTTCACTTGTTTGGGGCACTAAAGCTAGTGCCTTTGGATAGTTGGCATTTCATGGACTGTCATCCTCCTGGATAACAAAGACCAGTACCTGTGTGCAATACTTGATTCTTTCCAGGATAGTGGAGAAGTTTGGCCGATACTCTGGGCTGTGCTGCCAGCACTGGGTCATGATCCGGTACCTTGAAATAAGTTTAAAAAGAAAATATATATATTGATCAAGAAAGATAATTATGTAAAATGTGTTTCTGAATGAAGTGATCATGAGTCCACAGGAACTGCAGTTCCCTGACTAAAGGTGTCTGGTTGTCTTTGTCGAACCAGTTTGATACCCCCTATCCCCTGGCTTCTGGGAGTAAGGAAATACTTACACTGGTCCTGGACAGTTTTTTGGTGGATCCATTCTTCCTCCACTGGTGACAAATTCCAGCACTTCCTGGTTGGTTTTGCAAGGGTAGGGCATGTAGCCTAGAGAGAAAATCTCCCAAAGCAGCACACCAAAGGACCTGTGTCAGAAACCAGCCAGCAATACCAATTAGGTGTCATTTGTGCTCCACAAACCTGGCATGAAGTGCAAGTAACACCACAGCAACAACCTTTAGAAGCTGTAGGCCAACCACAGTCATGTGCAATTAGCATGATTATGAGTCAACTTTAACATAAAAGAACCCAATCAAAACTTTTGCTCAAGCTCCAAAACCAGTTTTGCAGAGGCTTCAAAATACTTGAGTAACTCTGAGCTTGTTCTTTTCTGCTGCATTCCTTATTTCTAGAGCAGGAAATGTCAGACAACCCTTTGTTGTGTATGATCTAACTGAAAATAACTGTTAGCTCTGGCATGGAGACTCCTACCTAACTTGGGAAGACTTGAGATGTTTGAAACAGTTTTTGGGAACAGGGTGCTCAAGAATAAAATCAGGTAGGAGACATCCAGTGTAACTGAAAGGCAGCAGCATTTATTTTTTGTCGTGATGTGGATGCTCTTCTTTTTTACATCCATGGGTCAGTCAGTTAGCAACGCCACCAAAAATAACATATGACTCCAAGAAGGGGGAGCCAAGAGGGTTGCAGGAGTCACTATTTGTTGCAAAGGTGGAAGAAATTTCCAGTACACGCGTGTTACTTAGAATAGTCTTTTACAGGAACAGTAACACTTTCCTTCTAAATACTTAGCACTGGCTGCTCACAGTTAGGGGCTGATAAGCAATCCCTTGTCTTCCGGCATCACTAACAACTCCAGGAAACTGGGTCAGTGTGGCATTTAAGGGAATGTCTCAGTACAGTATATGGAGGAATCTACTGTACAGGGAGAGAGGCGTTCTTGAGCAATTGGAAAGCTTCCATTCCCCGGCACCTGTGCATGAATGTGCTAGTGTTGAGGGGGTGCTGATTTCAAAGAAAGATGAAGTTACATGAGGAATTAATATATAAATATTGTTTCCTCAGCAACCAGCAAGGGCTTCTGATTAAATCTGCTCTCATTTTATATGCCACAGAAAGAAATTACACAGAAGTAATCCTGGGTGGTACAGAGAGAGTCATTTGCATGACATGAGCAGGCGTTGTCGTCGAGAAGAACTAAGTAACAGATACCAAGGGTTGGGGGAAGCACCTGATGGTATTTGTATGGATTTTTAACTGAGGCTTCTTGGGGATCTAAACTACTTTCTCTTTTCACTTCTTGACTATCTTTATGTGATACTCTACATCTATGTATAGAGAATTTTTATTACCTCCATTTACATTATACCTTTTAATTCTCATTCAGAATTCTTCAGCTGTGCTTCTACTGAATGCAGAGGGAAGACTTCTAATAATTTTCTGGGAATTTCTGACACTTCTAAGGTTTCTGCTAAGCAGACATTTTTTTCTTGAGCAATACATTTCTTCACCCTTAACATTGAGTAGCAGAAGTGATTAAAAGACACTTGTTACCAGGTATCAGTCTTAGAGGTGAAAATGCCCTCTAGGAAAGCTTCTGGTGGCATCCACTTGACAGGAAGCATGGCTCTTCCTCCTTTACGGTAGTAACTTGCTCTGGGAAAGGTAAAATACATGGAGAACCTCACACAGTCTGAAAGGGCTCAGATATAGAAAAGATCTTATCACCACAGCAACAGCAGCTGGGGATTGCATGCAGCAGTGGGGGCCAAGTGAGGAAAGGAAAAGCCATCAACAGAAATGGTGCCTTGAAGCAGTGTTTTATGCCCTTTTTGCAAATGAGATGGAAACGGAAGACATGAGATTTTCTGCTGCTTCGCACAGGGTGCTGATGCAGCAAGTCTTTGGACATCATAAACTGAGAATGATGGTTGGGGCTTTTTATTATTTATTTAAGATTATATATGATCAACTAGCTAATAAATGTGCCTATGCTTGGCCTAGTGTTCGCATGTGTTTGCAGTGTTCCCTGGGGCCCAGTCTGGAATAAACACAGTCGAAGTGCATAGATGTGTTAATTTACAGTCTGTTAACCCCAGCTAGTTGACTGGTAATCAAATTCAGGCACACAATGGATGGCTCCACTGCTTCAGATACCATGAGACAGTTCAAACTGGTCAAGATTATACAGGTTACAGAGTTATTCACAGGGCTAGATATGGCTTTTCACTTACCTGTAAATATCTCTGGCCATCCCAAAGTCACCAATCTTGGCTATTCGTCCCGCTCCAGTGCAGGTCAAAAGGCAATTCCTCGCAGCTATATCTCTTTTAATAAAATAAAACAAAATGTAATTCTAAAAGTAGCTAAAGGAATCAAGAAAGAATATTAGACCCCGTCCTTCAAGTCTTGGTTGATTCATCTTTACGCAAATGAGAAGAGCCTTATTAAAAATAAGAAATAACACTAGCTACATTGTTATTTTTATTAACCACAATTCTTAAACTGCATTTACATCATATTTTCCACCCAAGGTTTTCCAAGCATTCCCCACTCCCATCTCCTTTCACTAAGACAGAAAGCAGGGTCAGTGTCAGACCAGAGACAGATCCAATCCCTTTTGCTTCAACCACATTATGAGAGGTGTCTTTTTTGCTCCGTCTAGAGTGACAACTCGACAGTGTCTCCATCAGTTACAGATGTGATGCTACCGGGTAGTCTCAGTAAACTGCTTGAAAAGTCAATATAGAACCAGATTCAGTAAACTGCTGCTTTGTTGCTTATGGATATCTCCCATGGGACCAAGCAAAGCTACATATTGGAGCAGCAGTTTGCTGAGTGCAAGTTTAGCTTGCGACACATGGCAGTGATGAGTCCATGGCCAAGACTGAAGGATTTGTGTTCATTTTAAATACTAATTCCTAAAAAACCTCATTAAAAATCATAGCATTGTGGGGGTCCTGATGAATGCCAAGAAAAATCAGCTTCTTGAACAACTCATGTTTCTTCCCACTGCCAGCCTTGAAAAATCCCTCAAAATCTGGAAGTCAAGCTCTGCTTTCTCTTCCATCAGCTGTGACTCCTAGATGGCAAGACCTGCCCTTAGTGACATCTCCACAACCCACTCCACTACTTCTTTACCCCAGGATACCTGTTATCTGTAATTATAACCTTCTTCCATTCCCAACCCACTCTTAGTAATACTAACATTGCTAACAAATACTAATACAGAACCTGAACAAAATTCCTTCTATGCTGATTTCCTGACTTACTGGCTAAAACAAAATGAGTCCCTTCACATGCTGCTTGTATTACAGATCTAACAGTGCAAAAACTGACCCTGAGAGCTTTTTAAAAGTCATAGGCTGGTGTTAAAAGAGTCAAGCACTAGTTTCTTCCACTTCTTTCCCAAAATTGAGATTGGTCTTGAGCAATAGCAGCTGGCCTGTCCATTTGCTGATATAAATGTTAGAAGTTCTGTGTGATGACTGCTGTGCTCAGTGATGTAAGAACAGCAGGGAACATCTACCTGACAGGAGAGATGAAAACTGATTTTATAAAACACTTGTGGAGAAAATTTCTGTTGAGTTTCTGTTGGACTTCTTGCAGCACAAGCAAAAATTGTCCCTTATCATAAATTCAGTAGATGAGGGTGAGTGGAGGTTGATGAAGGACGTTACCGTTACAGTAAGGATTTGTTAACAATAATGCTGTAGCAATTAACTCTGAAGTTTCCAATTAGATTACTCATTAGTCCTCTCATGTACTTATTAAGAGATTCAAGAGCCACAACTTGTTGCACTCTTACTGCTCTTTCTTAATGACAAAAAACTCTAATACTTTTTTCTAAAGGAACTTAATTATTGTTCCAATATAAAGGAGACTGAAAACTGCCTCAGATGCTGTAATCATAAAGCCATAACATATCCCATATCTCAGTCTCACAGCTTTTTGCCCCAGTTGCTGATTACCACTTGTTTCCCTCAGCTTCTCCAGTCTCTGCCTGCCCTTGCCCAGCTCTGCCTGTTAGCTCTGTGCAGTGTCATGCGTACATACACGTGTGTGGGTGCATCAGTTGTCTACTTGCATAACTTCAGGCTCCACTTTGCTTTAGTTAGAGCCTGTGACCCTCTTGTCTGCAGGTTTCTCCTTTCCTTTTAACACAAGAGCTGATCTCAGCGTGGAGTTCAGGAAGGAATTCAGCTGCACACTATGCCTGGGAACATTATGAGCTGAAACAACTCATCATCAGAAGCAAAGGAATCTGATATCCACCTGGGAATTTTAAACGGCTGCCTATAATAAACTTTACCTCTTCTATAATATTTTATTCTTATTGAAGCCTGCCATATCAACTTTTTTTTTTGCTCTACAAAAGAGGAAAAACAGTTGTGAACGGACAAATATGGGCTCCCAAAGACCACTCAGCAGGTCAGCTGCTGAGCTGGGAAGGAAGCCTGAGAGTTGATTTTTTACCTCCTGTTATCCCTGTTCTATCCTTTTCAAGTCAATAGTTCAAATATGACAGACTGTCCTGTGCTGCTGGGATAGGGAAAACGTTAAGTCAAGATACGGAGATCAGAAAAGAGTGAAATGATGCCTTATGGTCTTACAAGCTAACACAGAGTGACACTACCATCTAGTGGACTATAGGGCTAATCTCAAATGTGGCTGTTGCAGGCACCTGCAAATCAACACTTGAAAACAGCACCTGCAAACAGAATGTTCCTTTCTCCTCAGCAGTGCAAAAATCAGTGCAGAGCCTAACTCCTACCAAACACCACTGAGACCAGCCCAGACATCTAAGCACAAGCCTGTGGTGGTAGGGGAATTTCTGTCTTCCTCCTGGTGATTAGTTCTGTCTAATCCACTGCAAATGGAAACAGTGACCTTTACACACGTTAGGATACATCAGAAGGGACTGTTTCTCCTCACCTGTGGATGAAATGATTCTCTTCCAGATATTTACAGCCGCAGGCAATATCCCTAGCTAAAATGTTAGCGTGGATGGTTGATTCTGGAAGAGGACACGCAGGAAATGGTAAGGGAGGAATAGTGGAGTAAAAGGATATAGTTCAGGGAGGGGATAATCAGAGAGGGGCAGAAGAAGGGAAAGGGAGGCATACATAGGGTGGGGAAAGTGTTAAATGAGTCAGGAGCAAAGGGGAATAGAAGCAGGCCAAAGTAAAGAGTTAGAAAATGAGTAAACTCTTATTTAAGCCAAGAAGTTTTCAGAAGATTTCTCTTCTCCTGTGCACCGTGCATGAGTGCAAGCTGGTGAGAGATTTATGGCCTGGCCCTAAATAGCCTAGTAAAGGGGGTGTGAGAGGACTAGTCCCTACTGGTGTTGGACTTCGTGAAATCAAAAGACAAGCAGGTTTAAAAGGTGAGATGGAAGAGAAACTTCACATACACACACTTTTAAAGAGTGGATTAATAAATTATAAAGAGAAATTAACACCTGAACTCAGAGAGAGAGCAAAGATGCACAAGTGCACATCTCTGAACCAGCAGTCAACATTTGTCATCTGTTCTTGTGGAAGGATGGGGGTTACCCTCAGGAGCAGTATGTAAAAAAGGGGTGATTTACCACAGGACTCAGGGACTGGTACTAGCCCTTCACCATCTGCATTTCCCTAAGAACAATAAAGAAGTCTTTCTCCAGGAGCCCTGCTTATTTTCATCCTGCCATTTATTTCCCCATGGGGAAATTTCCTTGGTGTTTCTCCTGGACCTTCTGCATTGCTCTTGGGAAGGATGGGGAGAAATTATGACACTGCCTGAGAGGTATCAAATAAATTGTTCTTTTTAAGGCTGCTTTTGTTTCTGGATGCTGTTATCGCTGTAATTTCTCATGCTCTAACCACATACATTATAACACTGTTTTTATTGGCTAGGCAAGTTATTGTACAAACCTCTTGGATATCTGCCAGGGAGAATTATTATAGCTATAAAGTAGGCATTTCTGGAGAGGAAATGAAGAGCAGGGAGGAGAAATAGAACCACAGAGCTGAAGACCTTATCTCTGCTCTGGGATCCCGCTGTCAGAGGACTGATGGATATGCATTTTCTCTGCAGCCAGGGAAACTTGTTGGGAAATACATTAGTGATGGAGCTAGTTCTGCTTTCAGAAAAGGTGTACAGGGACATTTTGTTGAGTACTAAGAGGACTTCAGCTATTGTATTTGCTATCTGCTACCACACCAGCTAACATAACAGCAGTTTGTTTTCACATGATATTTAAAAACTAACTGTTCTTTACATTACAACTATACATAATATTCAAATAAGAGTATTTATTATTCTCTGCTGCCCACAGACTTTATACACTTACAGAAATCGTACCACTTTCAGTATAAATGCCAAAAATAAAGATATACAAACTCCTCCATCTGGGTGCTGTTATACCACTGTAAGTACATTTAATTAGTATATTTACTCCTTTATGAGGAAGAAATTAAGCTCAATGTTTCAATAACATATTAATGCCAGCACAGGAGTATACATGCATGAAGCTATCATCATAACTATTTGGGGTGGATGCGTGTGTGGAGAAGAAGCTGTGCTACTGCATCATGTGGTGTAGGAGGACATGAGGCACCAGTCAGCCTCCTCCTGCCCCTGTAGGCAGCCACCATAGGCACTTCAATACAATAAGAAATAACATAGAATCAGGCTTAACTCTTCTTTTTTGTTTGAAGGCTCCACTCAAGCAGAGAAACATACTTATTTGACTTATTTAAGAGGTGCCCAAAACACCACTGTTAAGCAAGAACACATATCTAGAATCAGCTATTCATTAGAAGAACACTGAAACTAATTAATTCCAAATATTCATTGTACTTGCTTGGCATCAATACAGCATTAGAAATCAGAGATCATTTGCAAAACCCCTCATGACAGCTTTTTATAAAGGTGGGAAGTTTTAAAAATAAAATATTTGCCTCAATTTCATTTGCATTGATTTAAATCCCTGTCACAGTGCTACATGCAGGCTCAGCTCTTCAACTGGTATAAATCTGTGCATCTCCATATGGTGCTGATGCATACCTGCTGATGACCTGGTGCTACAGATTCCCATTACTGCGTATCAGTGTTTTAACTTCAGCCCCTCACACACCACCACATTACACAGAAAACAAGGCAGACATTGAGGAAAGAAAGCTCCTTAATTTGTAGCCCCATTGACAGAAAACTCCGGAATGACAGGACAGGATTTTAGTCCTTCCTTCTCAGCTGCTAATAGACTGGAGTTCTGGCACTGCTTTCATTTTCTCTCACTGACATCTGCTTACATCAAGCAAACAGAGGTATGTATCCAGAAGTTTGTAGGAGCTGGGACCCGTGCACAGCCATGCTTGGCTTTGTCTAATTCATAAAAATAATAGAAACAGTCACACTAAAATCAACCATAAGCTTAGCAGAGAAGTTATCTCACCACCCTGGGTCGATTCTGCCGAAGGAAGCTCTTCATATCTCCTCCAGCCATGAGCTCCAGCAGAATGAAGCGAGGCAGCGTCTGTAGGCTAACACCAATGCACTGCACAATATTTTGGTGATTGAACTTACTGAAAGCCAACATCATAGGAACATGGAAGAGAAAGACAGCATTAGTACCTGGCCAACATCCACCACATTCACTGTGTCTTGAGCTGGGTTGAAGTAAATCCTGATGCAGTGTTTGTTACTGAACAAATTCCTACTTCAGCCATATCACAATGTCACTCTGATTATGATAGCCCCAAGCTCAGGGTTGTGCCTGGCTTTGCCCATGAAAAGCTTTCAACAGAAAGTATGAAAAGCTGAAAGTAAAGCAGAGCCTCCTGTCTGTAAAGAGAGAATTTAATGGACACACTGACTGAAAGATGGGGATGACATGAGAGGGAAAAGAAACCTAAGCACTTCAGATATGCAAATACGATTGACCTTTGTGAAACAAAACTCTGACTGGTGGCGTTTTTACTTTAGCATTGGTGATTTTAAATATACTGCTATATAGGGTGGGGGACTTGGTTCAGTATCTAGTCTACCAAAGAGGGACTCGGCTAGTATCTACTGCAGCAGCTGCTTATGTGATGGCTTTCTGTCTCTTACAAAAGAAAGCTGAGATTGTCAAAAAGTTCAGTAAGACTCAAGTCATTAGAAAGCAGCATCTTCCCTTGGATAGTGATTACCTGGATAATACAGGAACTAAAAATGGAAAGGATGCTGGGGAAGAGAAAGAGTCATGTGCTACTAAGTGAATCAAAGCACTCTGTAATTGATTGAAATTGCTCTTAAAAAAAACACCCATACATCAGTGTTACCTCCTGTTCAGCTGCCAAAATTCTTGCAGAGTTTAGGAAGTGACACTATGTCATGAGATTCATGCTTTAATAGCAGAAAACCAGCACCTAGGTATGAGCTGGGCCAAAGCAAAGAGGAACTTCCTTTGCACAAATTAAAAATGCATCAACACTGATCACTTGCAATCCAGCCTGACTATACTACTTCTTTAAAGCCACCCTTGACTATTGTTTAAAGGTTATGGATTTGGGTTAATGAATTAAATTCCAAGATTGTAATGCTTAAAGTACAGGTGGCAATAAGAATAGCTGTCTGGTTTGTAGATCTCAGTTCACTGTTAGAAGATCATGCAGATGAGACCTTATATAGGTTCTGTCAAGCTTACAAAGATGTTATAAGCCAGAACATATCTAAGACAAGTGCCCACACTGGGAAAAGGGATGTGTTCCATCTGTGCAAGCTACATACACAGAGCCATATTCACTACCTTTTCCCTGCAGAGGTTTCAGTGTATCACTCAGCTAACTGTGCAAAGAAAGGGTAAAAGCCCAGGCCTCTCATAGCAAAAAGCACTTACTTATGGCAAACAGTTCTACAGATAGGAAAAGCAAAAAGGTTGCACCTACAACTTAGCTGATGACTGAAAGCCACAACGGGAAAAGCTTTTCACACTTTTTCCTTCAGCTACCAAACCTGGTCTTACAAAACCTCTTTATTTTAAGATATAATATACTTTAAGCCCATGCGTCCAAGCCTAAAAACATACCTTCCTGGCACACAGCTTGTGCTGTACCACCTTAGTGCTGCTCTTGCAGAGGCTGAACGTCTGAGTCACTGCACAGGTGGCTCTTATCTTTAGCTTTCCTATTGCTTTCCATTTCATCATTGAAAATTTGTTTTAGCAAGAGCTTCAGGACATGATTTATACTTAGTAAAAGGGCAATGAGCTGCTTTGGAAAGGAAAACATTTCAAATGCAGAACATGTTTGTACAAAAATGTTGTGCCTTTTTACTCCTCTGAACATGACCTGCAGAGCCCTGCAGAAATTTTTGTTGAGATGTTATAATGAGTTTGGGTGGGATAGAGTTCGTTCTCTTCACAGTAGCTCATATGGTGCTACGCTTTGGATTTGTCATCAAAACAGTGTTGATAACACATGGATATTTTAGCTATGTATTTAGCTGTCGATGCCCCACCCTGGAAGTGTCGAAGGCCAGGTTGGACACAGGGGCTTGGAGCAACCTGGTCTAGTGGAAGGTGTCCCTGCCCATGGCAGGGGGTTGGAACTAGGTCCCTTCAGGTTCCTTCCAACCCAGACCATTCTATGATTCTGCTGCTGTGCAGTGCTTACACAGCATTAAGGCTTTTCACACCACCACAGCAGCAAATGGGCTGGGGGTGCACAAGAAGCTGGGAGAGGACACAGCTGGGACAGCTGACCCCAACTGACCCACGGGCTATTCCATACTGCATGACTTCATGCTCACCAGTAAAAGCTGGGGAAATGAGGAAGTGGGCATTTGGCATTAATGCATGATGAAGCTCTACTTCCCTAGAAATGGATGAACACCTACATGCCAATGGGAATTATGAAGCTGTTGCTTTACTTATAATGCTGGTTTTGTCTCAGCCCATGAGTTTTCTTGCCCTTCTGTTTCTTTTCTCCCCAACAGATGTGCAACAAAAGGAACTCTGTTACCTTGTATGAGATTAACAAGTAGCTGAAACTAGTATCTCACAAGCTACTAAAATGCCATCTGGTGAAAAATAAGGGTGGATTTCTTTTTCAAACCAAAGCAAGACAAATGATTCTTATCACCTGCATGACTCTTTTCCCCCCTGCCCACCACCAGTATAAAACTCTTAAACTATACCTGATAATCAATGCTTCCATTAGGAAATCCATCTCATCCTGCTCAGAGCAGACTTCTGGCAGGGTCTGTAGAGAGGTAAAGACAGTGAGGACCATCCTACCAAAGAATTGAGTATATTTAGGTGACCACCAAAGGAAAAAGAAAACAAAAAAGAGTGAGCATGTAACATGTGAATGACTTCAGGAACCTACCAGGAGGGGTTCATCTGTCCAGCACCCAGCTTTTTGAACTGCCTGTGACCCATTTGGTAGTTAAAGTTAGAACAGGAAACTAGTGGCCTACTTAGAGATCTTTTGTGTGCATTTAGCTATATTCAGTGTTCTGGAGCTTCAGGTATACATCAAGAAAGGCATTAGGTGAGGAAATAGAGAACTAGTATGCACTTTAAAATGACAGGCATTAGTTTAGTCTCCCTTTTCTATAGGACCACATTGCAGTACATCTTCTCATATCATGTAACTCACACAGCCACATGATTTCAATAATTGTGTCACATGCCCTTACAGCTTTCTTTACTGCCAGCAAATTCGGACAGCATCTGCCACTGATAAACATGAACTGAGAGCAGAGGCAGCTGTAGAAGCAGTGCCTGCTGCCGTGTCCACTAGCTTAACATCACGGGATGGTCTGGCCACAGCTGTGTGTAGTGCCTGCCTGCCAAAGTGCACACAGAGAGGTGGGACGTTCGCTGCTCAGTGGGGTGAGGCTGGTATGGAAACAGTGTGGGCTACAGAAGAGAGTGTTGCACGTTTCTCTCTGAAATAAGTGATTGCTTTACACAAGACAGTGCAGATGATCTATTAAATTGGTGGAATATCCACAGACAATACTTGGAGAATGCTGTAAAGGTATTTTTTAATTTATTCCCTGTGTACACTTGCATTCTTCTGCACAGTCAGATCAGGACTGATACCCTCCATCAGGCTCATTAAGCAATGTGAACATGGTCACAGCTTGGGTCCCATGGATACTCTACTGGTTTCCAGCCAGGGAGAAGAGCTGCTTTTTGGTGATGTTCAGGGTGTCATTTTACAGGGAACTGGGTAAATGAGTGCTCAGACAGGGCCCTGACAAGTAGCCATCGTTGCTGAGATCTTCAAAACTAGTACAAGCCCCACTGGATTATCAAAACTGAAAAACATGCTGACCCACTTCTGTTTCCCACTGTGCTGTGGTGCTTCTGCCAATCTGGACAGTGAAACCGGGCTGGGCAGCCACAGCTGCTTGCCAGTGTCTGTTCTGGGCTTTCATTCACATTTGTTCAGTGGCACAGGGAAGTTCACAACAAAATATCAGAATGTATCATCCTTTCATCTTGTTTGTTTGTTTTAAAAAGGTTTTGAAAGATAGTACCAATAATGGTAGAATTTCTTTTTTCTTAATGCAGGCCACCTTTTGGCTGAAATGTATATAAGGTGATTTGGTTCTCTGAGTCACAAGCTTATAAAAGAACAGAAGCAGGCCTATGAGCAACCTTATCTTTAGGGCTGAGTAACTGACAAATCCTGAGGCAACAGCAGTAATTTCACAGAAATCCAGCCTCTTATCTCTTGCTATTAATGACATGGAAATTACCAGGATATCCCAATTTATATTCACAGCAGCATATTTAACACTGTGCATTAATAAGAGAGTACCTGAAAGTTTCCCATGTGGTGGATAAACACTACTCTCAATATAAAGGAAATGTAACTGAGAAACAATAGAAGTTTTTAAATATTGTCATGTGAAAAATAATGTCATGTGAAAAACTTAGGAGAAAGCACTCAAACCCACTGAAATGCAGAAGTAATAATGTATAAGCATTACTATAAACGTTTACTGTTTGCTGCCTTACAAATGCTTCATACTGATATTTGCCAGATCTTTCTTTTCTTTATACAAGATTTAGAAATCCTCTTCTAGTCCACAATATTCCCAAAATGTCTGTCTGTTGCTATATTTTTCCCCATAAGTTTCTTGTTTTCTTGGCTAACTCAGATCTGTAAATCATCATGGCAGAAAAGCTACTGTGGCAGATTCTCTGCTGGGGTGAACTGATGGGTTTGTGTTGATTCAAGGGAGCTATATTTATTTATGTTGATAGAGAATTTGTTATTTTAACTAACCATATTATGCAGTCTCCAGGTGCCTAATTCACACAACTTTCCATCTGAGGGCACTGATTCTATCTCTTCTGAGCGATGGGAATGGAGCTTACGAAACAGATTGCCCTTTATAGATTCTTCTCCTAGTTAGACCATAACTTACAGCCATTAGGCATGCAGCAAACAAGACATGCTTTACTTTCAACCTGCTGCTAGTGCCATACAGCTTAAAAATCAAGGTTTATGATCCCTGTATGCAGCAATGTATGGAAACCTGCATCACACACGTGCATATGTCATTATACATGTGATGAACGTGAATCTCCAACTGGAACAGTAATAAGATAATATGGCTCTTACGGGCAATTATTGTTGTATAAGAAATTTCTGGGTACTGACCTTGATAGCCACTTGAAGAGGGTTGGGATCCCCTGCGATGCCTACCACGGTTCCCTCATAAACCTCACCAAATGCACCATGTCCTAGTGCCCTGGAAGGAAACAAACCAAACAAAACCAGAGAGAGAGAATAGATGTTACTATGCCCTTGGACCCAGTGTTGGCCAAGCTCTTGTCTTCATCTAGTCCAAAAACAGGAATAGAACCTGCTGTAAAAGATGGAATCAACAACAGAGTCTTGTTTTCATCTCAAAGGTTCTGAAAATGACTTCTCAGTATTTTCTGTCACTGTCACTAAAGAAGAGAGGTTGGATCCTTAATGGTTCTGAGCAAATAAAGTAGCTTGTTCAATCCCAGGGCCCTATCACGAAGTATGGTGATAGCAAGGCAAAAAGGAACTGGAGAGCAGCAGAAAAAGGTAGCTGCAAGCTGATGTCTTCAGGAGATGGTGTAAGACAGTACATAAGAATGATCAAGTTTTTCCTTCTAAAGTTTACGTAACTTTGATCAATATCATCTGGATATGGATACCAAAGAGCAACATAGCATGTATTTCCTCCTGGCAGGAAAAGCTGAAAAAGAAATACTGCTATAGATTTGGAAGGGAATTACTGCCAGGTGGCAAGTTAAAACCTGGACATCAAAAAAACAGAGGTGAAATACCCTATGCTGTGTGTGGGAACATGGAGCAGGAGACTCATAAGTGTATACTTCTGCCTGAGGACTTTATGGAATCAAAATATCTTAGAGAACACAATAAGTATATTGGCTGGCTTGGACTAGGTGCTTTCCAGTTAGTCTGACAGGTGGCCATTGTTTTCTTGTCCTGGATACTTGATGATGAGTAAAACAAGTATGTGAGCCCTACCTCTGCCTTTGCTTCAGGCTGCCTTTCCTCTCCTCTGTCAGAGAGCAACCCCTTCAGCAAGCCTTACCGAAGCAGAGAGATGTTCTTCCGTGGGATCTCCTTCAGCTCGCTCAGGGTGGCGGCCTTCCCTGCAAAGCAGTAGTTGGGGTTGTAATCTGTCATGATGGCTGATGTGCGGATTTTGCTCAGTTTATATTCTGGGCTCTGCAGTCGTGCTCTGGCTCCTTCCAGCTGCTGCTTCTTAAGGTGGTAAACTGCAGGTGGAGAGGCACATCAAAATGAACAACATCAACACCTGGAGAGAAATTATAATGCTGGCCACACAGAACAGAATCCCACTCCATAATTATAAATGCGTAAGAAGCATCCTTAGCTTGCCAGTATCATGTTCTTGTCCATGCTCTGCTGTGATTTAATAGTGGATATGCAAACAGTTTTATTTCTGCAGAGACATAATCACTGGGGAGCAGCTTAGGTTTCCTCTGCTTCTTTGTACACTGATTGAGGAAAGGGGCATCTTGTTGGCATCAAGTCTCAAAAAGCATATCATCTCCCAGAATTGTATGTTTAATTACAGACTGTGACTTCAGCCTATATAGCAGTGGATGCTAAAGAAAAGCCTGCTAAGAGGGCTCTCCAAGCTCTTTTCTCTGCAGCAAATACCAGGACAGAGCAGTCCTCACCCTTTGGACTATGCTTGTGCCTAACTCTGGGGTGGCGATGTTTTATATCACTTCTTTCTCCCTGTGTCCCTCTGATCTACTTGGAAGACCACAACAATTTTGCTCCATGTATTAGAAGTAGTGGCATGTAGTTGAGTAGTCTCCTTTTGCCTAATCCAACCAGGAAAAGCCAAGTTAAAGGGTGATAAGGAGTAAATGTTTCTTACTGATAGATAGGCTGCCACAAGTAAGGATCATTCCAAGCACCACAATCACAGCCACCACAGCTAGGAGGAGTGGGAGAGGCAGTTGACTCTCTGGAATAGGACCCGGGGGCACTGGAAGAAGAAAAATAGATGTGCATTAATCAGAAAGTAACAAGAGCTGCTGTCACATCCCTCTGGATTTCAGAAGATAGCACAGACATCATGGCCAGACCGTCTTATAAAAGTAACAGCAAATTTGTCTACAGCCCCAGAAGCTGAAATGTACCTGAATAATTTTAAAAACATTGTGAAGGTAGAACACTGACTGATAAAGCACAGATTTCTTATCCATTCTTCAGTTTTTCATAAATGGGTAACGTCACTGCTCACAACTTGAAACTCTCTTGATGCTTTGGAGTTCCAAGAGACTGTCTCAGGAAATAACAGTGAATACCAGGCATCAGCTGAACAGGCACAGTGGGAAACTGCTGTGGAAGGAAGTAATTTGTGTCTTAAATAACTCAGCAGTAGGTGGTTTGTTATACCAGAGAGGTATTTGCACTCAAATATCTGATACACTGAGCCAATTCAGGAAATTTACACTCTGTCTCTTTACAGACATTTTACTTTCTACCTAATCCAAACCTGAATGCTGGAGATGGTGACAGAGATGCAGGTCAGCATGTAG